CATGGCAAGATTATGGTCAACTTTGAAATGGTAAATCATAGTGGCAGCACTTTAGCACTTGTTTTGTTCAAACGCCGTCATAGCCACCTTACACTAACTGAACCAATATGCAAATAGCATATTATTTGTGTTTAAAAGGAAGTATTTCAAAAAGTAAAAATATTAGGTATATACAAAATTATACAAAATTGCGTTATTTTTTATACTAAATATGAAAAGATTATAACAATAGGTAGTTTCCATTAAAAAAAAAGTTTTTTTGCGGTTTTTTAATTTTATTTTTAATCTTATTTTTCGCGTACCCTCTATTAACATATTTCTTATGAGATACGTCAATCGAATCCTTTGTCTACAACAAAACTTACTCAAGTGAAAAAATAAACGCTTCCGAATGAACAATGTACATTATTTACTTTCATTTCATATTTTTCATATTTTCTCTAGTTTTTAGATATTTTTCTTGAAACCTCACTTAACAAAATGAAAGTCTGCTCTAATGAGGAAATAAGTTGATATCTTAAAGCAACCGTGGCTAAGTGTTAACCAAAGTTTATTTTCTAGTTTTCACAATCAAAAGCAAAGGTAAAAGTAAACCCACTTAGGCGGGCAAGATTAGCATTATGCGCAACATCGTAAATTACACACTGCCTTTTCGAAAAACATGACCCGTATGTAAATTTTATGAAAATTTCAAACATCTTGATAAAGGTAATCCCTTATTGACATATCTTTAAGTCTGTTCAAACTAAAACAAGGCCCCTTATATGATAATTTATGAGTAAACATGCAATTCAAAGTGTGAAACTTTGTTATAATACGGAATTTAAGTGTTATGAAACCCTTGTATAATTGCAGTAATTCCTGCCATTTTCGGGACTTTTCTAGTCGTTACCGGAAATGACAATAATTTTCATATGCTCTATATCGTTCATAAACTTTGTTTTTCTATTCCCTACTTTAAACTCCCCAATTATACTCAACAGAGGCGTGCGCAAGGCTTCAAGAACCAAAATTTGTAATTAAAAATCTCATTATGACTACTGACCAAAACTAAGCAAAACTGTGGCGTTTATCAATCTTTTACAACGTTCTTCGCCCATTGTGTGTACGAGGGCTACCTTTTATATCTCGGAATTTATAATAAAAATCTATAAGCAACCGACAAATACATTCAATAAAACCAATCATCAAAGCACTTTTCCCACATCGATTCGGGCACCTCCAAAGCATGCATTTCTTCAAAAACTTTGGGCAAGCAAATGGTTGTGTACCACTCAGAATTGACAGTTTTACCTTTCACCAAAGAAACAGTTGCAACGTGGCCAGTTCTCCTGAAAAAACAGGCTACTATTTGTTTCGAGGTCCTTCGCGCACGAACAACTTTTGTGAGCTTTATCTCATTCTGAAAGAGCTACACAGTCGACTGCTGCTTACTTTCAGGTTCATATGCATAGATCCATGATTCATGACCTGTCACGATATCATAGACGTGTTTGGAAGCACCGCGATCGTATTTTTTTAGCATTTCCTTCGATCAATCAACATGGGCCTTTTTTTGAGCTGGTGTCAAATTGTGTGGAATCCAATGCGAACAATTTTTTTTAGCGGCCAAATGTTCATTCAAAATTGTATGTACGCTGGTCCCACTAATTCCCAAAGATACCTCAGTCAGTTTCGGCACTGCATCAATGTTTTCTTGTGCAACCACCGATTTTGAACGACCTTCACGGAATTCCTCCTTAAAAAAACTACGACCACGACTGAAGTCCGAAAACGAGTGATAAACAGTAGTCCTAGATGGTGCTTTAACTCCAAAAGTCGAATTAAGTTCATCGATGCATTGTTATTGAGTTAGCCACGTCTAAATTTGTAAAATAATATTACACGAAAATGCTCCCTATTAAATTCCATTTTTAACCGTCACAATTTTTTTAATTTATCACAAATAACACTCTTTCGCCAAAACCTGAGTAAACCTAACCTCAAAATGTCAAAATTCCCTATAAAAACGTTAGTCGCCAGATGGCAGGACTAGTTTAAGAAAATCCAGAAATATAAAAGGCAACCCTCGTACTTAAAACAATATGTGTGATTCTAATTCGCGAAGTGCAGCCCTGTGCTAAAGTAGATAAACAAAACAAACGCATTGAGTACATAATGTAGAGACGGATTTATTTCCGTTTGTTGAAAAACGTCTCCAATTCTCCTCGAGTTGCTGATTTATGTACGTTTTTCATGCACATTTTGAGTTAATAAATGCGTCCCGATTTCGGCACTGAGTCGGAGATAAAATCAAGAAGTTTTTCAAAATAATTTTCAAGATAATTGGAACAGTTCTCATGCCATCAGTCACTACAAACTTAACTTATCAAATTCGAAATCGGGGGAGTTAATTGGTTAAAATTTTGGGACCCTGTGAACATAAATGATTGTTTCTACTACCTACTATAAAATAGCAAATTAGGCACTGATCAGGCATGATCAAAGTTTTCGCATAAGACGTTAGTCATAGAACACCGTCCGTAGAAACTTCCTGCGTTTTCGGTATATTAGTCACGGGTTTGCGGGCAATCGAATGTTTTCGGTTACTTTTTAAACAATGATAGTATTTTAAAATTGTCAGATCTGATGGTCACGTCAAACAGTAGGCACATTCGTGCCGTTTGGCCAAAATGCCCGCAAAAACTAATGTTAGAAGAAGAAGTAAAGCATTCAACACGGTTAGCAACTTCTTCAGACTATATATACATATACAAACTCGTGCCTAAAGTATCGATTATTAAACTTGTTGCATAATATAATTATGCATAATTCTCAAATATAACTTAACTCAATAAGCTAGACTTTCATTACTAGAATTTCTCATTGAACATTTTTACTATATTAATTGATAGAAACTGTAAAACTCTTTTAGGAATGTTCGTGTATTGCTGGAGGTACGCTGCGAAAATATTATACATAATTCTTGGTACATGTTTGGTTTTTCTTGTGGTTACCGAAAAAAAAAACGAACGGAAATATTCGGATCTAAGAACGACTATAACAAGTAAAGTTACTCTAAACGTAATAGAAGTGTCCGTTAGAGTCTGTCAAATCTCTCGAGTGCAATTCGGAACAACGGATAGTGCTCAGAGCAAAAGAATCTGTAGGTTTTCCGGAAAATATATACCCACAAAATCTGACCCACGCCGACGCGACACAGAATGGAATCCACAGGAAGTCTGAACGAAAAACTTGGATGTTCTCGCCTCCTTTCCTATGGGAGCTCACTCATTCGATAGATTTGAAAAATGAACCTAAATTACAGAGTACAGGGCACGAAATATTGGGGCCAACGTTCAAAAGTTTCGCTAATTAAGTTTGTTTCGCTCAGTTGTTTTTAAAGGATCTAATCTGAATATTGCAGATATAAAGAAGATACAGAGTCCTTGCTTATGCTGATAATACAAACCACTATGCTACTAATCAGACCATCGCCATTAAGTTTGGATGCGGTATTTTCAGGTAAAAAAGAGTTAAATATTTGGACTTTGCTGTCTAGAAAGAAAATAGAGCAAAGTGCAAGTGAGTGGGTAAAATTCACATCTCTACGAAAATAATATGGCCACTGCCAGTATATTTTCTAATGCGTACAAATATCTACAAATTCATTTTCAAGTCATGCTAATCGAAATTTACAGCGAAATATAAAATTTAGAACAAACATTCGATCTTATACAGGATGTTCTAAAATATCAACTTTAAGTATAACTTGATAAATTTTAAATGTTTTTGCGAGCTGCTTTTTCTTCGGTTTTGGCCTTGAAGAGACACTGATGACGATTCTAAATAAATATAAGTAAATGTAATTTACGCCTTTTACCATTCTTTGTTTCGTTAGGCCAATCCGTTCCAGAAATCCGAACCAATTCAGACCCATTATATGGGCCAATAAAAAATAAAATAAATACATCAATGCATCATGCATCAATTGCACCAATTTAGATATATTCAAGACCAACTTAGCCCACTTAAGGACAATGTTGCCCGAATTGACTTTTTAACTCAGTTACTTACTTAGTGGTGTAAGGAATAAATTTATTTATTGGGCGTATTTTATCAATACTGAAAATACTATTTCTGAAAAATTTAATCGCTGTATCTAATCAACGGAATCGTGTTTTTTAATTATTGACTTTCTTCAGGTACGGGTTGAGATCGAGATCGAATAGAATTGAGAATGCTCCGTATTGTGGTAAAGTAAAAAACCCTTAAATTAGATTTTTACAGAATTTAGCTGCGTCTAAAATGCACAGCACAAAAAAGTTTTATCAATATTTTCCAGTTTCCGTCAATATATAATTTGCGTGTCTGCGTGTAATTTGTCTGAGCATCTTTTGCCAATCCGAATCAATCATGACACATACAAGATCGATCATTTTTAATGTACTCGAAATGTAGAGTATCTGGCATTATCATAATCTGTTTATTATCTCCAGCAAATCTACATTGACTTGATATTTGACATAAACGAGTATTTAAACACTGGGCTAATTACCAGTGTTATTGAGTAACACTCCATGTCAATCAGACATTTTGGAATCCCTTGTAGCTAGAATTTCGTAAAACGGTAACCGAAAATCGAAATCGAAAAACACCCTGTACGCTTTTATGCAAAAGGTGAGTTTATGTTTGTCGAGATTAAAGTATAAAGATAGACACATACGTGTACTCGTACTGGGAAATGGAAACAAAAATAAAGTTCCGTGGTAATCCTAAAATACATAGAAATGAAATGATATAAATTTTATTTGTCACATGCAGGTACACACAAAGATGATGTCGTTTAATCGTTGATAGCTTCAAGCAAAGTTTTCTGTTTTTTTTTTATCGTTTTTAACATTTTTGTGTTCAGCAACTAAAAGACGCAAATTGATAATTGTAATTTCAAGGCAAAAAATAAAAACAATTACTAAAAAACATACATCTTTATTCGTAATCAACATAATTACAACCCGATGGACGAAACGGTAGAACAAAAGAGCAAATTAGATCCATTGCTGCAATTTTATATTTTTTAAAAGCACATTCGGCAAGTGCCACGTAGAGTGTACAAAATTACGTGGCGTCAAATCAACAATCAAATAGTAACTAAATAAATTACAATACGATTTTTTTGGTACACCCCGTAACGCTTCGGTAAAATAATTTACTACAGTCTTACCCTATCGGTTTAAACAGAATAATTGGCCTAGTATGTACAACAGTTAATACGCGGAATCACTTCCATAGATGCGAATAATAGAATTGATGCGTGGTCCATTATTTTGGACTAAACGTCAAACTCGTGCGAGAGTCAATACCTAAATCAAAAACGACAATGTTTATCTTTTCTTTTGGAGCGTGTGTGGAAGCAAGAGGCGGATTCACATCCACAGAAATAAGTGTTACATGAATATCTTAACTAAACTTAATAGAATTGCACGTGTGAATAAATTGCACTTAGTTCTTCGGACGGTTATAAATACAAGTCGTTTCATATATACATATACAATGTCAATTCAAGAAATGCAAGACATCTGCAAAATCCGAGCACAAAGCAGCTCCAATTAGGTTTTGGGGTTTATGGAACCGAAACTTTTTTCCCACACTTAGGTCAATAAACTCAACAGATCTTGACACACCACGTCGCACTCCCCCAGTCAACCTAATTGTTCGCTACCCTCGTTCGCCTCCATCTTCATAGGTTGATGTTGGTCGTGCATATATCTCTGCAACACTGGATTTGGTGGCGGTACCAAGGACGGCAACACTTGCTGATCCATGTGTGATTGCTGGTGATTCAATATGGCGTTATTCGGTTGACTGTGCTGGTTCAGCATACTCACACCAGCTAGGTTAACATTCGTGTACAAATCCATCTGGTTCTTTTCTTCGACACGTTTTTTGTTTTGTTTTCGTTCCTTCGCTCTTCGATTTTGAAACCAAATCTTCACCTGACGTTCCGATAACCCCAGTTCGGCGGCAAGTTCCGATTTTCGCCTAATGGTGATGTATTTGTTGACAAAGGTGAATTCTTTTTCAAGCTGAATGCGTTGATGGTCTGTATAAACTACACGGTACTTGTCTTTGGTTCGCGTTTTACCTGTAACAATACATATTTCGTGTTAAATAAAGTACAACATTGTTCTGTGAGAAAGTAGATCATAATTCAGTGTCAAGCAAAAGATACGTCTTTGTCGTAGGGCCACAGATAAGTAGTTACACAATGCCGCACTGATGTATTGTGGACTTTTTAAAAGATACATACGGTACTACATTTCTAAGAATCTTATTGTAATTAATTCACCCTAAATACATATTTGCATCGGAATGTCAGAAACAAGTAAAATATGGAAGTGTATTCTACGCCACTATCGTATACCTAGGCCGGAGTAAATAAGGCGCCATGCGGGTGACGAGGGAAAAACACCTAAAATATATTAACGTACAGTTATCATACGGCTTATAAATAATTCTTCTATTAAGTCATATAAATCATGCGCGGCAGCAGTGCTATGGCAAAAATTCATTTGATGTAAGATTATCGATATTTAATTAACCCAAAAAATTAGAAAGGAAATACTTCTGGAAAGTCAATTAAATGACAACGGTGTTCCCTAATATTTAGCTCACGTATCTTCGCACACAAAGTCATTAAAAGACATCAGAAAAATTAAATGACAATTCTCTAAGCAGCAAAATTTCTCCTAAGATCGACATTTCTACTTAAAAGCATTAGGAGGAAGATTAGGAAGTCAGGATGAATTGGTAAACCCAAATAACTGAATACTATTAACAATAGTAAATAAAAAAAATTAGAAAATATTGAAATATTGAAAGATTGATATACCGCATAGTAAATTAATTAGAAGTATTAGGCGACTAGATCAACAAATTAAATTTAAATTATACAAGATGATGTGTGAGAATTTGCTCTATCGCTCTAAAATATTTTCAATTATGCAGTACTGCTGCTTCTATTTAGATTCTACGCAAGAAATAAAGTAGATTATGTTCAGTTTTTCCTCTTACGTAGTTCTTGTCGTTACCGTTAAACAAAAAGCTGAACTTTTCCAGACAGTTTCTAGAAAGGCTCAGGCACTCATACCACTTTAGAGGATATTTCAAAAACAAGATTTTGATGGGAGTTCTGCAAACACGGTTGAATGAGTTTAGAGTACTAACCCAATTAGACAGAATGAACTTCCTACTTTTAAATTTTCATTTAATTTTAGGCTCTTCGCAACTCTTTTGCAAAAGTCAATAATCAAAAGTTTCCATCCTGCCAAGCTCCAAAGCCTCTTTTGTAACAATTTAAAATTCATTCATACTTTATTAGATTTTATTAGATTATAATAAAAACTGATGATGAAAAAGGGCGAAATCGTTGAGAAAATGAACTAAAATTAAATGATAATTAGGTTTTATATGTCCGAAACTTTCTTTGAAATGAACTGTTATTATGTAAAAATTATGAGAATTAATTGAACAAAATACATGCATAAATCCCCAATAAATCTTGTTTCTAGAAATTCTGCACAAAATCTTATTTTTGAAACACCCTGTTCGGCTTTCTGTTTAAAACACGGAAGATTTCTTCAAGGTTCAAATTGCTTAATAATCTAGGAAATTATTTTTTATTTCGATAACGGTAAGACATAAGTAATGGGAAAAACTTAACGAAATCTACTTTATTTCTTGAATAGAATCTAAAAACTAGTTGGACCATTGAATTGGACACACGTTGGCCTTTGCTCTGTCGAAATTGGTAATTGTTTTAGAAAATGAATAGAAAAAAATTACCTGTATACGTTGACCTAAGCTATTGGCAAATTAGTTCGCATGAAAATAAATCATGAACTGTACAAAGATTGAATATTATCATTAAAATTCAATAAAAAAAATCGTTTGTTTCAAAGCAAAATTAGAATGCTGTAGACGCGATAATATCGATACAGTGTCTATATATGTCAGGTTAGAGGTCGTCAGCGACATTTGCACTAACATTTTCACCTATTACAAATTTTTCATTTGCCTTTTCTATCAAATGGATAAATAAATGAACCTGAGAAAAAAATTCTAGTTTCACAGTTATTTTTACAAGGTTTGTTGTTTGTTAGGTGCAATTGAATTAATATATTTGATCCGCATGCCCCTGCCCGTAGGGGAGAAGGGGTAAATCGTATGAACCACAGAACCAGAAGGTTTCCAACTGCAACATGAGTACTATCACGCTGGGGAATACTTGATCACTTCTTGACGACAGCTTCAAATTGGTCAAGACGTGACCTGCGGATATTCAATCAAACTTTCCGATTAAGCCCACCCCGTAAATAAAGTAATAAATTATTTTTTTATGGATACATTTATGAGATACGGCGCGTGATTGGACGCCATTGATATTCCGTATGGTAAACTTTGACACTACTGGGACTTGCAACTAGCGATCAAAAACGGGCGGTATTAATCTTAGAAAACAGAAAAATTAAGTCGCTGGCAAAAGGAAATAACAGAACAACCATGCCCACGTTAAACAACCATTTTCGTATTCCATGATGGCGAGATCGAGCGGCAAATATCTTTGAACGTTTTCGTTTTTGATAAGAGTCGATATCGGGCGATTAAGGTGGTATTAGTGTTGCGGCGAACATGACAAAAGCCGCCTGTGTTTGCTGGCGGAGATAACGAGGGTCTCACACGGCACCTGACAACATGCTTATTGTCCCGCTCCGTACAAGGAAAACATGCCACGGGACGTGTTTACACGCGTCCTAAGCAACCAAATGCATGATATGAGAATCGGATTGTTGCAAGTAATGTTCTTTTTACTAAATTTCCAAGAGACGCCTGCAAACCGATTTAAAAAACGGAGTAGAAACGATAGCCAAATTTTTAGGAAAATAGGAGAGTAACCTTAACCAATCTTTATATGTATATCTCTATCATTTAATTTATTTTAATATATAATATTTATAGCGAGTGCACGCGGATTGCAAAATAGATCTAACTAACGCTAGGTAACCCGTAAATTTAAATTAGGGCAGACGATATTGGCCAGACAAATAAAGCCCCTAAAATCCTTAAAATGTATAAACATTTTTTTTCTTGCCGGTACCTTAAATGCCCGTGGATTACTAGTCCTACATCGGGCGCCTCCCCAGGTGGTGGATAGGGGAATGCTTCCCAGATATGGGTGGTACCGTGGAAATTAAATACCCGGGGCGGACCAAAACTAGCCCAGAGGGATGGTAGCTGGACTCTAAGATAGGACTAAAGGAGTCTTAAACGGTTATTATGAAGACCTCAAGCGGTGCAGTGGTAACAACGAAAATATCATTCAAAATTTTTAAAATAATTAGGTTATCTAAGAACATACCGGGGTTAAGTATAGGAAATCTGAAGGAATGTAAAGTCTGTTCATAGATATAAGAAAGTGATTAACTGATACGAATTAAGGAGGACCCGGGCAAGCTGTAAGAATGAAATATGGCCGAACAGGTCCGTACTTTGCTTAGAATTTAATTGTTTGGGGTTTTGTTAGGAAAGATACTAAACAATATTTATTTATTTATGTATGTATTTATGTTTAAATCTAAAATAAAATTACAAATTATTTTTATTACCTACTTCAATTACTTAAAATTATTCACATAATATATCAATATCACTATCGCTATCATCGCCTGTTCTAATTATTATTTGTTCTATATTATTAGCAATATGGATATTCGATTGTTCTGCCTTTTCTATATGTTTAACAGAATTTACCCAACTTTGTGGAGAGATGTTAAAAACTTCGGTTTCTATAAGTTTGAGGACATTGGAGTTAACACGGGGAAAAACAATGTTACGACGAATGGCAGATTTCAGTTGGTGCCAAACATGTTCAATGGGATTAAATATACAGTGGTAAGGTCTTAAAACTGTATGCCCTAGATTTTTTGCATAATTACCACAGACGTATTCCTTTTGTAGGTTCAAGCTTTGTAGAACCTCAAGTAATTGCTTTTTGATATAATCTTCGTGAAAATAAATATCGTTATTATGCATGTAGTTTTGAATTGTTGCTTTTGTGTCACATGAGGAAGGGGTTTTAGTCAACTGTCTACTGTGTTTTTAAACCAACTTTCAAATAAATCAGCGATGATGTCTTCATGGTAATCCAGAGAAGAATCTTTAATATTTTTTGCATTCAGAGAAAGTCCATTTGGAATCCAACCATCTTTGGCGCGTTTGTTTTACACTTATCAGTTGAGTCAACCCATCCGGGGTATCATAAGTGTCGAACCAGGTTTCATCCAAGTAAATAATTGGCCTTTGTTGTTCTCTGCAAATCCTAATTTTTTCTAGATATTCCAGTTGCCATTTCCGAATTCTAAAAGATTCCATTAAAACATGCCTTTTGTCAATTTTTTTAAAAGTAAAACCCATGTGTTGAATACACTTCCATGAGGTAGTTCGGCCACATTTAACACCGGTTTCATCTTTTTCAAGCATCCTAATTAAGATATCTAATGTAGGCACGCTTTGTTCCTCGTCTAACTGGTAAATTTTACGCCGTATTATATCTTCATCACTTTCATCTACACTCGAGAAAATGTCAGCATCGCTTCTTTTTTTCCTCGCTGAAATGTGATTATTCACGATTTTCCATACAGTTGATGTTGGAATTTTCGTCAATATGGCCGTTTCTTCTAAAGATGCTTGCTTGCTGGCACCACGTTCAATGTGAGTCAAATAAACATTGTTTATAACTTCCTTAGTCTCAACAGAATAGTGTTTTCTACATTTGGGCGGGAGCATCTCCTGAGATACACTAGACTCACACATATTTTGAATAATTCGCACACGATTCAACACACGCTGTATTACACACGAAATAAGAATGATTACTAATAAACTTAAACTAAGTAGTATACCCAACCAAAGAATATTAAACACAGGTAGGTATAAAATTATTTTCTATTACGGACCACAACCTGAATTTAAATTCCGAAACTTTAGGTAATAATCTTGTTGCGTTGTATGTTAATGACCACCATTGGATAATCCCATTCAAAAGCAATTGGTCACTTTCTTATATCTATGAACAGACCATACCAT